TGGGGTGATCAGTCAAAATAAAATAGTAAAAATAAATAATTGTATTTATTTTCATATTCGCCGACGTTTCGACCCGAAGTTCAGGCCTTCATCAGGGCTAAGAAAAGAACCAGATTACAATAGGTATAAGAAACTATAAAGATTTAATAATAAAGAATTCAATTTAAAAAAGGTGAAGGGGATAGACTAAAAATTTAGGTTGAAAAACTTAAACTAGAATTAAAAATAAATAAAAACCAGAAATAAACATCAACAAAATAATAATCTTAGAATAAAGCATGAAACAGAGAAAAGAAATACGAAGTTATATACGGAAATAATAAATAGAAATAGAAAATTAAGAAATTGTAAAATCAACCAAAAATAGTGACTACGCATAGGAGAGTAACAAGTTAAAATAATGTACATAGATGAATGCGCAAATGTATCAATATATACAAACTTGAGATGGAGATATGGAAAATTTTCTCAGCATTGATGAAGACATGAACTTCGGGCCGAAACGTCCGTGAATGTGAAAATAAATACAATTATTTATTTTTTCAAATATCTTTTACCTTATCTTTTAACAAAGGAGTATAAATTATATCCATCGACAGTAAATTGTAAACTAGCATACAGAGTAGTTGGCTTATTGATATATTGTTTCAAAATATTTTAGAAGCATAAAAATAATGAACTAAGTATATATTAATTTATATGTACAATAAATCCTGTTATTCAGAAAATTTAAGGAGAAGAAGAAGAAGAAGAAAAGTAAATTTTATTCTGAGACATTTAACCCCTAAGAATAATTATAATGAACAAAAATATGACGAATGTCTGGCATTATAAGAAAATAATTAGCTAATATAAAATCTATTAATATAATATCTAATAGCTAATATAATATCTAACCTTATAATTAATATAAATAAAGTACAAGTAAACATATAAATTTTTACATAAATATAAATGAGTGTATTCACACATTTGTTCTGATTAACAATATTGATAATATATAAGGAATAGTAACACAACAGTCAAATGAAGGTGGCAGCTCTTAAACACGAAATTTTATTTTCACCTGCATTTGGAAGATTGATTGCTAAGGAGGTGGAAGAATAAATGTTATTTAAATGATGTTAAAGAAGAGAATTTACGAATAGAGGTGGTTATGTAATTCCAAAAAAATGTAGCACGAATGATACATTTTTGAAAGTAAACGGTTCTATGATAGGGGACAAACATGTTTTTGGACTGGGATCTCGTGTTAAACGAATGGACAGAAAACGAGGATTAAACAAATCCAGGAGGTAAGATGGCTTTTTGGTTCTAAATGTTCGGAAAAGAAATACTCCTAGGAAATACAAGAGACCTGGATAGAGACACCTTAAACTTCATTGAATAAATGTTGATACATGATACTCGTGTACAACTCGTTTAAGAAACTTTTTGAAAAAAACGTTTAGAATGAGTGATGAAAAATTTGAAGAACTAGGGTCACGTGGTTGTTAAACCTAAAAATATTGACTGCTAGGACTAATATCACAAATCTAAGATCCTAATGATAGAAGCCTGAACTTACTTTTATCAGCGATAAAATGGGATGAAAAAATGATTCACACAAAAAATAAATGTAAAAATATTAAAGTAGGATATTTATAGACAATTAATAAGAAATTTTAAATCATATATTTAATGTATGAATGGGTCTTGCCGATCAAATACTCGTGCTATTACAAGTTATTAACCTCTGAACTTCACTAATATAACCAATTAAGTACGAATTAAAGAGAACAATTTTTGTTACATAACATGTCCTGAACAATAAGTTGATATACGATTAATTATGTAACTGAGAAAAACATTGCTAATACAATAGACAGGGACGTTGTTTTTTTTTTCTTTTGTTTTCCCCTTTCCATCGGCACCGCAGGGTATTAGCACCGAATCCTCCCAACAGTAGAGTATACAAGGGACAGTTAGGGCAGTTGTTTTAAGCCGGGATTATCCGCTATTTCTCTCCAGTTAATATCGTCCTCTGAGCAGCAGTCTGTTAGGAGAGGAAATTTCGCTCTATGTGATTAAAAATGTTGTGATATGTGAAACAATTAAAAAAATGAAAAAAAAATACCATATTTATAAAACGAATAATCAAAAAGATTTACCAAATAGTAAGTACTGCTACCTCTCTATTTCTATTACATAACTACTTACATCAGAGGTGGTTAGAACGTTAGTCCTTAACCGGTTTTTCTAGAAAGTAAATGTTTAGTAAACGTACTTTAATGATATATGAATGTTATAAAGATATCCATTATAGTACAGACTATGTTCTCAAATATTTGATGTTTAGTATATATACCGTAAGGAGGTGCAACTTTGGGTCTGGGTGGGTAACTTTAGGACAACGAGTAAAATTTAGTTTGTGATAATTCCGTGGTGGATACGCTGTGTTGGTTCAGTCAGTATGGACAGCGCATGTACTACGCTACTACCTTGCGGCACACTTATCTTGAGGCACAATCTAAAATTTCATGAAAACAATAATTTTAAGACAAGAAATGGAAATAAATAAAACCTAACTGCACAACGGGTGTAGTGAACAAGGGTTCTCAAACTGCCGCAAGGTAGGAACATGCGCTGTCGATGCTGACTGAACCAACACAGTTTATTCACCACAGAATCACCACATACTGAAATTTACCCGCTGTACCAAAATTACTCACCCAATCCCAAAGTTACCCCATCTTACGGTATATTATTCCAGTACATTTACAAAAAAAAAAAAAAAAAAAAAAAATCCTAGACTAAAGGCAAAATTGATTTATCATATTAACCATCTAACCGCTTAATTTTACGATCTTAGATTTATTGTTTGAAATTAAAATCTAGTGATGAAGGCGTTTTTAAGTATATTATAATCATGAAACAATTTCACCTCAAAGAAGAAATAGAACTGAATTTGACAAAATGTATATCGGCAGTTCATTGAGAAAATTCTGTAAGTACGTTTTCGCAAATTTCAACGTTATTCATCGTGACATAAAAATAACAATGTCAAAATGACACAAGCCCAAATATAATTATATTAAAAACATAATACTGTGTTTTCACAGAGGAAAACTTCATCAAAGTATTTAGTGATTTAAGTTTATGAAATGTTACTTGATGATTTTTTGCAATAAAGCTACGATAATAAGCTGTCTAGCTATCGAACTTAACAACCAATGGAAATTTCACAAAAGAGAATTAAGGGAGTAATTGTTATCCCCGGCATATGGGTTCGACGACAGAATCAATAAAAAAAACGGTTCCATGTAGAAATATTCCCTGTCCATATTTCTCGTTAAAACATTTTAGAAATTTTATTATTTAACCTTTTATTTGATTTGAAATTATTTTTGGTTTGTTTTATCCAGCTTAATTTGAACTTAAAGTCTTTCCAATAAACCTTAATTAAAATTTGCCTTATGATAACTTGCATATATTACTGTTATTTATTATAATATTAATCCACTTATAAATACCTCTACAATAAACTATAGAAATATCGATGATACCTGATGCGATTAAAACCATATTCTTTTTCTAACTTTTCGCCAAACTAAATAGTGGAATACTAAGGCCCTCTCCTGCTGCTTGTGGCCGCTAATGTTAGGTTAGGTCCCGAACTGTCCATCGTCCACTGCCTGGAGTGGTGTCCATCTCAGTGGAGTGTCCTGGAGCAGGCGTTGTACAAACAACCAGACCTGGAGGAACCACTCCTGCGCTATTTGCTTTTCAGCGTCCTCTGGTGGTACCATTAGCCGATTATGAATCAGTATGTACTTGCCTGATGGTACTTCTTTCCTCAAGAGGTGCAATTCTTGGAGACGAACGCAAGTAAATAAAATTTTAAGGAACCAGACTTCATAAATTACAAGTCAATTACTTGTGTGAAAAGCCAATAGTTAACTCATTAAACACCTTCCTTCTGTTTGCCCTACCACGTCCTTCTTGTAGGATAATGACGAGCTAGCATGTTTAAATGAAAGCTAAATGAAATGAAATCACCTTCTAAAGACAACACAACAACAAAACAAGGTGTTACCTTCATATCACTAATGAAAAAAATGTATAAAACTCAGAAAGGAGCATACATGGGTAACGTAATAGTAAACTATAAACACTTTAAGTCTTGCTAGTACTGTGAAAAATAACTATACAAATATGCTCTATAAAACATTATTATTAAGTATATTTTTTCCAACTTTATCGTTGTAAATTTATAGAAAAATCACGTGAGAAGTGAATAAATCAAAATCCTAGATATTGAGTTTACATAATTATCTCTGAATATGAATAAAAATTTAAATAATAGGAATATTTAGGTCGTGATAAAATAGTTATGTACCTGCTTACAGACCTTAGCCTTGGCAGTTAGTCGAGTTTTCTTAATCGATGTCAGTTTACTTATTTTATTAAGTTATGAATCTTAATTGTTATCAATTTTAATTTTTTTTAATTCAAACTATTGGAGGCGAATAAATATTCCCGCCGCCCCCTCAACTATTTTTATAGAGAGGGGAGGCAATCGTTCCCTCCCCCCTCTCTCCAGTAGTCTGAGCCTATGGCTGTTCTGTAAATCTGTAAATCTGGCCCTAAATCTGGCAAACAATAAAAACCTAAGTATTTATTTTGAAAGTAACAGACTATTGTAAGATATATAGTAGCTAGAGTTTATAACCCTAATATTTAATGCCCTTCAATGTGGCAAATTGTATTAATATTAAAAAAAATCAAGTAAAGTTCCTGGACCAATTTTTTAAAAGATCTCAAATTCTTAAAATATGAAAATTCAGGATATCAGTAAAAATTAAACTAATTAGGTCCCTCGTTAACGGAGGACGAAAATGTCTCTTCCGATGTTTCGATAATTAATAAATTTTCCAAGAGAAAAGATTGATAGGTATGAAAATTGGAAGGTTTAACAATTTCTGGAAGAGCTCTCGAACTCCATAACGCTCTCTTGAATCGGTTGAAAGAGAAAGGGGGCAACCTGGGGAATTATTTCATTAAAGAGCTTCCAAGGAAATCGGCAGGAATTTAATCAGTAAGGAATCGTATCCTCTTTAGGTCGTTAGTGTTCGGGGGGAGGGGGAGAGGAGTGTCCTCTGGGCCGTGGTACTGTCGTCCTCTGGGGGTTCTCTTGGACCTCGGGATATCCGGGGGATTGTTCTTGATCCATCCAGCCATGGCGAAATTTATTATCCAACGGGTTAATAATTAGGACACTACTGAAAAGAAAAATACATGTCAATATAAAATTACTCACTTTAATGTAACCTCATATCTATAGTTTATAATTTCAGTTAGTGTGTTTTCCCCTTCACTATTAACTGAAACAATAAGACGTAAAAAATAAATAAAAATATATTGAAGAAACTCATTGAAATTAATGTTTAAAAAAAAATTGTTTTATTATTTCTTAATGATATTTACAACTGCATATGAGAAATACAGCTAGTAAATTTGAACATATGGATATAATGGCGTTAAAACACTTGCTGAGTACATACCCAATGGTAGCACTCTAATGATATGTCTACATTAAGAGATCACGGGACCATCTTATTTTCACCCGCCTCGGAGGGTTATCAGGAATTGGAGAGGAAGCAAGGTTAGAAACGAGAGGGTTGGTTATTATGGAAGGAGAGGTATCTGTATTGGGTCAGATCTGCAACAAAAGAAACATTAAGGTCATTATGGATGGTTATATTTGTAACAAAGTAGGGAGCATTGAGGATTTTACGAAGGATTTTGGATTGTAAGGATTGCATACGAGAGGAATTCGATAGTTTAGTGCAAGGTCAGTAAAACTACCAAGTTCGCTCACTCAGAGGGAAAATGGCGGCGAGGAATTGAGCTGTGACGTAGCCAAAAGACTAAGTTTACTCCCCCGGCCTTAGTTTCTGGACATTTTAAGATTATTATTTACTTTTCTACATTAAATCAATACTGTATTGCCAAATAACTTATTAATTTATTAATTTTAATAAATTTGAAAGGTGAGAGAAAGGTTGATTTGATATTTTATTCTAGATTGTTTGTCGTATTTATTGATTTACCTGCTTAAAATTATCTTCAATTCAACGTCAATCACACAGAAAAATATTCTTTTTAATAAATTACCCCAGTAAAACTAAAAAAAAAGACACATTAATATTCAAATAAACCTCCAATGATAGGCTTGAAAGAACAATAGGAAGGTTAGATAGTCTAGTGGCTACGTCACAATGCAAGTTCCCCCACCACGCATTTCTGAGTGAGCGAACCTGGTAGTTTTACTGACCTTGGTTTAGTGGAGCCCCATAGCTCACTACGTAAGTCAAAATAAGCCTTATTATAGTCATGTATATATTATATTATACTACATATTTATAATTAATTGGAAGTTGAGAGCGTCTATCTAATAAGTGCTGAAGTAATCGGAAACGTCGAGCTCTTTCGTGTCGTTTCAGCCTGGTATGACAAATAAAAAAAATGAAAGATTATTGAAACATAACTTCAGATCAATGTATACTTGAAATCTCAAACATCTGCTAATGATGTAAAATAAAAAAAATAATAATTTAAAAAGTAATACCAGAAAAGAACTGAACAATATAAATGACTATAAATGCGTTGAATTTATGTACTCAGGCTTGTGTTAATTCTTTGACATAGACTACTACTGCTGTGAACTACAAATATCACAAAAAAAGGATTTCAAAATACTGAATAAATAACAAAATTCCATGTATGTTATTAATTATTTTTAGATAATTGGTTATGAGTTTATTACCCAGATGTTTAGCTAAAATTTGTAATTGATATATACATCATAACTAGACACATTCATTTTGTGTGGCTTTTTTGTTCAATGCATACATGCAAGTTAGGAATAGATTTTTTGTTGGCATCATACCCCAACGCTTATAATTAAATTAGTTTATCTATCATGCTTACAGAAGAAGAAATCTTTCTGTTAATTATTATTTTAAAGTACTAAGGCTTAATTTTGCTATACAGAAAATATAAAGCGGTGAATTTCAGACTCAGGGGACTCTGAAACGTATAGATCGGTTGGAAACTGCACATAAGAAATTCGGTCAGATCGCAGTACTTTTCTCATCTAGATTTTTTTTTTTTTTTTTTTTTTTGGCATTACAGACCATACAGATCACGGGATTCGCCTAAACATGTCTGCTCCATCTCAACCTGTCTTGGACTATTTATTTCCAGTTATGTGCATTATTATCTTTGTATCTCTATTGCATGTTTGTTGTTTTGATCCATCCATCTGCTTTTTGGCCTTCCACTTTATCTTTTGCCTACTATTGAATCAATTATTATCATGTAGAAACTTCCAAACGGATCGCTCTGAGCTACATGCTCCTTTCTTTACCTAATAATGGTACAAAATTAAAAATACTAAAGTAGCCTAGTTCATTGTTATAAGTTTACTCACTATTAAAAATTGAAAGAGCTTAATTTGTTATTGAAAGAGCTCAATTTAAAGGACAAAGGATATTTATTTCGTTTTTATAATTTATATGACAAAAAGAATTAAGTACACATGTTTGTATCTTTCTAATAAAAAAAAAACTACATAAAAGAGATTGTTTGCTACGCCAGTCAAGTGTGCATCATTTATGATTGTTTACCGCTCGTTAGTGAGTTTGATCTCTCAACTGTAATTAATTTATCACAGTACTTTTTTTTGTATTTATGCAGAATAACAACACAGAGAATATTGTTACCTTTTCTGTTTGCAGAAGAACTCAATTTCACAGACTATAGAATAAATATTTAATTTATGTGACTTTATCTTTTTTGCTCTGTATTTTTCTCTTCTAACATTACTTATTACTGTAGTTTATCGCCATAAATAAAGCGGTTGCAATCTCCACTATGTAAACAAAGTTAAGCGCGTTAAATTCAAACGACTGCGTTAGTGGCTGCGATCAATCGCCCTTCTTCTTAACAATCAATGTGCATGGTAATGAGAATTAATAATTTTTAAGTCGTTAAAAAAACAATTTCTTCGACGAAGTCGTACTTCACCCGTGATCAGCTTTTCCTCTAAGAAGAGCCGATATTTACAGCCGATAAAACGACCAAGTCACGGTGCGATCGTATATCGTGACGAACCCTCCCTCTACTCTTCCTACAGCCCTCCAGTGACCTGCCTCTGAAACGAAGCGTCACCTTGGGGATTGGGGAACCCTCCTGGGAGGGGGATCAGTCATTGATGCTAATAGTCTCCCCTTTAGTAATATATTATTGGGTGTCTACCAAAAATATTACATCCTCGTGTTCGGAATCCGTTTTGTCCATCAGTTGTAAGTTGTGCTTGGTATGTGATTGGTTTAATAGCTGCTGTCTGAGAACATATTGGTTTATACACATCCATTAAAACTGAATAATACAAAATACGATAAAACCGTAACTACATTAGTTCGATCTTTGAATACCGCTTTTTTACCCGTCTACTTGATCAGTAATATCGACTTGTCAGTATTTCATCATTATTTTTAGAATCTACTCACTCTATCTGTATTTGAGTTTTACAGAAATATCAGTTCTCAGTTTTCTTCTGACACAAACATCGCAGTGTTATGTCAAATAGCAAAACTACTGCTTGATCGGTAATTAGTGTACGGTAAAGTAATCCATAAAAAAATGTTGGTTTAAATTGATTTATATTTTTTAGGTTAAAACAAAGTGAAATCGTGTTTTGCGAATTTAATCTTAACCAATATAATATAGAATAGATAAATTATAGCATTAATTAATACGATACGACCATAAGAAATGTAGGACGTCACATTAATAGTAAACAAAGATATCATCAGATAAAACAAATATAGTACAAATATATTACAGTGGACTCTCGCTAATCCAGACTATTCCATAACGCGAACCAATATAATAAGAAAAACTGTCAAAGATTTAATTTTATGTATGCAGTGCATATATACATACATTCAATAAAATCGTTTTACCATCGCCTCTCGTGATGCCTAAATCGTCTAGTTAAAACTACCTATTATTTAAATAAAATCAATGCAATGCACATATTAAAATTTGGAAGCTTATATATTTTCTGAAATTCTTTATCGGCTGAAATAATTAAACTTTCATTACATTAATTTTCAGTGCGAAATTGTATTGTGAGTAGATACTATGATAACTGGTTGGTTCACAATGAATGAACATTCCAGATTACTTCACAAGTAAATAGTTTTAAAAAAATCTGAACCATGATTAGTTATTGTCAAACTACCTTTATCTCAATACATTTATATTTTTTTATTTAAATTCATTTCTTATTTATTAAGTTACCTTATCTTCCATTCTGTATGCCAAATTCTAGCCATAATTTGGTTTTTGACACTATTTCTTCCTTTTCGGCTCTCTAACACGGCGTCTCGGTAAGATACAATTTTAAATAATAGCTCATTACAAAGAAGATGAAATGATGAACATTTTACTCGCTAACAATATGGAGGTCCGATTTTGAGTTTTTGAAATATTTTAATCTGTATGCAATTGAATCCATATGTCATTTTTAATTTTTAATATGTTCAAATTTAGTACAAGGCTTAATCGAACTTATAGGCTTACATCGTATGAATTAATTAAATATTTTAATTTGGGGCTCCACTAAACCATCGAATTTCTCTCGTATCCAACCCTTACAATCCATAATCCTTCCTAAAATTCTCAACGCTCCTTACTTTGTCACGAATCATCCATAACGACCTTCATGTTCCATACATTTCTGATTTGGCCCACTCCTTTTATCCTTCCATAAAAAACTTCCGAACCATCCAAATCCTCTCGTTTCAAATCTTGCTTCATCCTCGATCTCTAATAATACTCCGAGGAGTATGAAAAGAAGGTGACCTCGTGATCTTCTTGTGTAAATTTATTATTTGAGTGCTACCAGTGGGTAGTTTCTCAACAAGCGTTTTCATGTTATATTCCTGAGTGCACATTTACTAGATGTATTTTTTTTAAACATTTGTAAATATCATAAATGAATAAAAAAAAGAATAATTTTATTTAGGATATTCAAGTGTATATCTATAATAAAGTGAAACAATCCAGAGGATCACTGTTACGATATATTTTTCTAATATAGTTTGCCCTTCCCAGCGGACGGCTTCAGAATGTAGCGGACACAAACTGCAGTCCCACCAAACTATCTCCTACCTTTGGCAATAAAACTGATTTACTGCGGTCCTTTCTC